ACCCTCTAGCTAGACTTCTTTTTCCTGATAGCCATAGCTTCTTGACCCAGCTCCTCCAAGGCATCCTCATAAGTTTCCTTCTTGTACTCGCCAAATTTTCTTGCATCAACGACTACCCTCTTGACCTTCTCTCCGTCTCTCCTCCTGATTTCTTCGCTCTTTGCAACCTCGTTGAAGAACCATCTCGCCTCAGTGTTCCCAACCAACGTCCATGCAGAACCTTGTCTCCCTGCTCTCGCCGTTCTACCTACTCTATGTACATAATTTGTAATGCTTGTTGGAACATCATAATTTATGACATGTGCAAGATCAGGAAGATCGAGACCACGAGAGACGAGATCAGAAGCGACGAGGATTTGGAGTTTACCTCGAGAGAATGAGGCAATCGAGGCCCTGCGCTCGGAGGAACGGGTGGTGGAGGTGAGGGTTCCAATGATATTAGTGTAGGAATCGTTGATCAAGGAAAGTAAACGACCGAGACGGATGGCGGATTCGTTAGATTTGGTGAATATGAGTACACCATGAGGTTCGTGATTGATCGGTAGTGGATTAGTTTTGATTTTTGATTTCGACTTGGACGATGGTCTTGAATCCGGCTTTGAATCTGAATCTTTGTCTGATTCTGAGCTGTCATCCGAGGACGAACTGTCTTCTGAGCTATCTTCGTCTGAACTGGAATCAGAAGAAGAATCCGAATCCGAATCCGTGTCTGTGTCAGATTTAATCTCGCTCTCGTCTATCATGTTATTTCCCTTCAATATTTCAATCAAATACAATGGCTTCAGATTCTCGTCATCTACCTTGACAGCAAATTCAGCAAGTCCAGATGGAAGAACATGCGCCTGTGACCCCTTGCCATCATCGCCAGCTGATGAACCCTCTAGGACTACCAGTTTTGGTCGATAGAGCTTCAAACTAGTCAACTGACCAATATCTCTAGTCATCGTAGCACTAAGAACAATTTTCCTCACTCTGTCCTTATTACTTGGAAGTGATTTCTGCCCTGCCGCTAAGGAATTCATTACAATATCCAACCACTGCTGGAAACTTTGATCCAGAAGCTTATCTGCTTCGTCTATAACAAGCCATTTGACGTGCTGTAGAGTAAACCCTGGGGTAGACTTCAGATGCTCCACCAATCTTCCCGGCGTGCAGATTAGAATATCAACCTTTGATACTGGCTCAATGACATGGTCAGGCAAAGGAGAAACGATTTCATCATCGAAGAACGGTTCACCTTCATCATCTGTCCCAGCATCGGAACTCTCCCATCGAGAATTTTTTCGTTGTTCTTGCTCGTGGTATAGTATCGGATCATATCGATGCGTATTTTCCATAAGGTTTGCTTGTTCTACCTTGAAAGCTTCATTTCCTACTGCTGTGCCTATCTTTACACGTTTTCTACTACCAGCAGAGAATGCACTCGAACATACCTCACAGACTTCACGCGCTTGAGATACAAGTTCTCGAGTTGGCATAACGATCAATCCACGTAGACGAGTGACTGTATTGCGACTGATATCTTGGGTCATGGGCAAAACGTATGATAGAGTCTTTCCGGATCCGGTTGCCGCTGACACCAATACATCTCCAGGCTTTTGCTGAGAGCCAGGAAGTAGGAGAGGGAGTACTGCGGCTTGAACGGCGAATGCTTCGTTAAAGCTTTTGGACCGAAGAACGTTGGCAGCTTCAACCTCGACCCCTAAATCGGAAAATTCGGCAGTAGTCGTGGGCGAGACTAGAATAGGCGATGCAAGCCATGAAGGGAGAGTAGATTCGAGCGATGGGGGCGGAAGTTCGGGAATCGGTTCTGGTTGCGGCAGTGGGACTAAATCGTGGATTTCCGCAGGTTCCTCTGGCTCTTGGGCGTTCTCAACAGCTACACCCTCCTCAGCAGCTTTGCGCGCACGTCTCTCAGCCTTCTTGATAGACTTCTCGCGCTTCTCTAATACCCTTTTATGCCTTGTATCATCTATATCCTCATTACTTCCTGCAGTATCCCGAGACGGAATGGTTTCGACCTTCGACTTCGACTTTTTTGATTTCTTGTCCTTCTTTGTCACTTCTTGCGCTTCTTCTGACGAGATAGTATCTTCATGCGACTCCTCAGAAACCGATGACATGAGTGCTGTCACAGACTTCTCTTTCTTCTCTTTTCTTGCCTTCTTGGAAATGGGCTCTGGCGTGGGCTGAACGACATCTTCGTGCTTTCGTTTGGAGGCTGGAGATGGTGATTCGGGTGCAGTTATTGGGGCGTCTAGTTGCGTATTTGGTTTTGATTTAGATTTAGAAGGTGGTATATAACGCGCATAAGTTGAGGAGGCATCTGGTCGTGTAGCAGGTGGGGCGAGAGGAGGAGGAGGAGAGGATGATTTGGGGGGAGATGGAGGGGCCTCAATAGATTTCTCTTGTGTCGCTACCTTCTTTTTAGAAGGGGGGACATATCTTGAATACATCTGTGAGTTTTTTAATTGATAATTCAACGATTGTCAATGTCAATTGACGATTTTCAAAACTTTCCCCAGTTGAATAAGAAAGAATTGAGAAAGGGAAAATAAAAATTTACGGAGACCTCAGCTACCAAAGTGGCAGTTAATTGAGCGCGATGAAATTCCCGAAAGTCTAGGCCCCAAAGCTGCCAAAGCTCTTGAAGCTTCCTACTGATGATATTGATTGTCATTATCATGATGAATTTGCACCAAAAACTACAAGTGATTCCTCCCTGAACTCAAATTGACTTTCTCCCCTTGATCGGTTCATCCTAGCAACCTAGCAACAGTTGTTGTATTTGTTGTCAAGATGCCGTACAATATAGCTATGGTCAGCGACTTCTTCTTTCCACAACCAGGAGGTGTCGAAAGTCACATCTACCAACTCTCTACAAAGCTCATCGACCGAGGACACAAAGTCATAATCATTACACATGCATATGAGGATAGAACCGGTGTCAGATATCTTACAAACGGTCTCAAAGTCTACCATGTCCCATTCCTCGTTATGTTTCGTTCTTGTACCTTTCCCACGGTCTTCTCGTTCTTCCCAATCTTCCGCAATATCGTCCTACGAGAACAAATTGAGATCGTTCATGGCCATGCAAGCATGAGTAGCATGTGTCATGAAGCCATATTACATGCAAGGACGATGGGACTGCGGACTGTATTTACAGATCACTCATTATTTGGGTTCGCAGATGCCGGCAATATATTGATCAACAAGCTTCTCAAATTTACATTGAGTGATGTTGATCATGTAGTGTGTGTCAGCCATACATGGTAGGATTGTCCAATTTCATTTTTTGGAAGACCCTAATTCCCTAACACATTATAGTAAAGAAAACACGGTCCTACGCGCTTCCCTTGATCCTCTTATGGTCTCTGTCATTCCAAACGCAGTCGTCGCAGAGAACTTTCGACCTCTATCACACCCTTCATATCCATCCGATCCCCCAGGAAAGCATCCTCCACCAGCCCCGTATCCACTTGGTCCGCACGATGTGATCACAATTGTCGTGGTTTCGAGACTTTTTTACAATAAAGGGACCGACCTATTGATTGCAGCAATTCCCCGAATTCTCGCCCACCATCCCAATGTACATTTTATAATTGCAGGATCTGGTCCAAAGGCCATAGACCTTGAACAAATGCTGGAAAAGAACGTGTTACAAGATAAAGTTGAGATGCTAGGGCCTGTCAGGCATGAAGAGGTCCGAGATGTTATGGTTAGGGGGCACATATATCTACATCCGAGTTTGACCGAAGCTTTTGGAACCGTGATCGTTGAAGCTGCTAGCTGTGGGTTATATGTTGTATGCACGCAGGTTGGAGGGATTCCAGAAGTGCTTCCATCACATATGACAGTTTTTGCCAAGCCAGACGAAGATGATCTAGTTGCTGCTACCGGCCGAGCAATTGCGTCTTTAAGAGCTAACAAAGTTCGTACCGAAAAGTTTCATGATCAAGTAAAGCTGATGTATTCATGGACAGATGTGGCAGAGAGAACAGAAAGGATTTATGATGGAATCTTTGGTGTTCTGAGCGAAGCGGAATTCTATGGATATGACGCAGCTGATGCAGCTAGCTGGAGCGCCACGAGAGGAAGAGCTGGCGTACAAAGCTTTGCTTTAATCGATCGTCTAAAGAGATACTATGGTTGTGGAATATGGGCAGGCAAACTCTTTTGCCTCTGTGTGATCATCGATTATCTGCTTTTTTTGCTGCTCGAAGTTGTCGCCCCTAGAGATAAAATTGACATTTCGAGGAGTTGGCCGAAGAAGATACCACAAGATTCTTCAAGGAGAGATCGCGAAAGTAGGAGAGCATCGCGTGATTGATTATGGGCCTGCGAGGTACATTTCTGACAAAAGGCCATCACCCTCTATGTTTCTAGTCAAGGCCGGTTTGATGAGTAAAAAGAGAGTTGAATATTGACGCTTCCATCCATGCGTTGTGGAGGTTTGATCATGAAAAGTTAGGAATCTACAATTCTATCACACCCTACAATGAGCCAAGGGTTTGGGTAGCTCTCGTCAGCTTGCCCATGAAATCCGAATCACGTCGACATTGGCAACTTTTACTCCTGCCCTGGGATGTTCTTGTTGGTAGCAGATTTTGTCCCATGGGGACTGTCCATAGAGGTATTGGAGCATTGAGAAACCAATGATCAACATATACCTAGACACTAGCTCTATATGATCCAAGATCAATCTAGACTTCGGGGTTTCACGATACTATTCAAACACAGCAAAGACATTGTCCTTAATTACAGTGCTTACTACGATATGAGCCTGTTTAATAATTTAAGCAAATTTCGGATGAATGATCAGCTGTGGTGGTTGATGATGCTTGGATTGAGTAAGGTCTGGTCTGGATGTGCGCAAATGGAAATGAAGTAAGGGTGCACCCCTCCAAAGACCAAATTTTCCTCGACCTATCAACATCTCGAGCTTTATTAACCTTGTGTGCGATGTGATTACTGGTATCGGCTCTATGTAATGAGCCACCTCAGTTGCCCGGAGGCCAGCCGCTATGACCTCTGATAGAGTCGCCCTTGGAGGGCAAGAGTAAGGCGTCAGTAGGTGATCGACATTTGGCACTCGTTGTGCAAAATATTCCAGCATGAAAGAAGTTCAGATCAGCATTTCGAACTTCCACTATTGAGTACGTTTTGAAAGCATTCGAGATGCTAAATCTTGGACTTTCGGTTCCTGGATGTTCAGATACTGGCTTCTTCATAGGAGCGAGTATTATCGCGGGGTGTATGGATTGATTGCATAGAGCTATTAGACCCTGCTCAGGCAAAGATTTTGATGGCTTCTCAGCAATACACGCGGAGGATGCAATGAGCCAGCACTCTACGCACATTTATAATTTGCAGCTTCAAGGGCATGTAATGACCTCTTCTTTTTTTTGGGTCCCCAGGCGCGAACCACACTCTGCATCTGTAGGTCTACTCCCGCTGTGAGTGAGTTTCTCCCACTAAACAAGATTGGATGTGAACCCAACGAAAACCCAGCCACCCACGCCAACTCAAGCTTCAAATAAGGTTTTATCTTTTCCAAATGCACCCCAGTCCAGGGCAGGATGACAATGTGTACTTGTCACCTGGGGTGGTTGGGCATTTTGTGAATAGCCAATAAGTCCCAAGTAAACATGTCACCTCAGACATCCCAGAAGTGCCGAGGTGCGTAACCAAAAAAAGAAAAACCTTAGATCTCTTTGCCCCGCGAATCGGCATGGCACGTGCTCTACTCTATATAGCAGGATGAAAAAGAGACCGGATTTATCCATTTTGATCTTTATTAGAATCTTCCAATCAATTGAACTATAATTCAACCACAAATAAAACAAGTGAATCTGAAAATATCGAGATGATGTCGACCTTCTTATTATCTTATATCCTATCACAGGACATACTTTGCTTCAATCGTAAAGGAAAGAAATTGGGTGATTGCGAGATTAAAACGTGATCAAACCTTGCCGCTTTTTTATTCTACGTACAGTCGTGGGAGGACGTGCCCAAGATCTACCCGAGATCCATAATATAAGCAACCTTTTACCGATATCCCTACTATGTGCACGGCCCTACTATGTGCACGCTCTCATTATTCATATAAAACATTGTATTAAATTAAATTAAAAATTAAAAAAGCAATGAAATTATTTGAAATTTAAAACTAAGATAATTTGAATAAACTAATATAATATTTCAAAATAAAAATCTAAAATTCTGAAAGTTTATAATAATAATATTAATAAATAAGATATTAAATTTTCATATAAGAAATTATTTATTTATTGATATATTTTATAATAGAATTAAAAATATGAATTTTATTTAAGGAAATTATGAAATTTTTTATATTACAATATAAATTAATTAAAAAAATTCAACTTTTTCTTTGAAATTCTGAAATTATATCAGTATTAAATTCTAATAGTTTTTGAAAAGAAAATTTATAAGAATTAATTATTAATAAAATAATGAATTTATAATATTTAATTTTCATTTTGAGTTATATAATAATAACAATCTTTAAAATATATATAAATATATTAAAATTTATGATTTATTGATATTATATTTAATTAAAGATTTAAAAATAAATACTAAGAATTTAATTTGATACAATATTAATAATAATATAAGCTTTTATTGATTATTATTGAAAATTTGATTTTTTTAATCTTTAATTCTATATATTTCGTTTTAATATTAAGGAAAAAAGTTATATCAATCGATTTTTAATTTAATAAACAATTTAAATATTTGAATTTTCAGGATTTATTAATATTAAAATGATATCTATTTAGATTTTCTTTTTTTAAAAATTGATTTAATAATATTTTGAATTAAGAAAACCTTTTTCTTGAAACTTTTTATATTATATAATAATTTTATAATTAGAATTTCATTATATATTGCAAAATCAAGATTTAAATAATTTCAAAAATAGAATTTTAAAAATAAAAGATTTATATAAAGAATTTCTTTCGATTAACCTAAAATTAATATATTTTAATATTCAATATAACTTATTTCAAAAAAATTATAACATTCAAAACTTTAACATTTAATATAAAATTTCAATTCATTTTAAAATTCATTTTTAATTTATTTTAAGATAATAAAAATAATTAGAAAATCTAATAATCTATATTAAAACCAATTCTTATTACTTTTTTGATTTTTTTGATTTCTTTATAAAAATATTAATAACAAAAAATCTATTTAAATATTTTCTAATTCTATAAATAGACCTTAATATATTCTTTATTGAAAATTTATATCTTAAAACTATATATTTATTTTATTTTATTATTCAATCGATTTTTATTTCAATAATTTGAAATTCTGAAGGATCAAAATGAATAATATTATTTAATTCTAGAACTAAATTTTATTTTATTTTAATGATTTTTGAATTTTAAATTGATTTTTATTTTGATTAAAGAAAACGTGCATGTAGTAGGGGCGTGCACGTAGCAGGGATATCGGTTTCTCTCCTGAATGGTCAAAACGCCATCTCGTGCCTTGATGACCCGTGTTGCGACTATGCCTATAAGAGTGGCTGCGATTGTACCTCGCACCATGTACAATGCCATTCAGGGTTTCCATCCCAAGTTTCAGGATCTGTGGATCGAATTCAATCTTCAATATCGTCGGAGATTCCTCCTGTTGCGTCAACTACCGGTCCTGCGCGCATTCCAATGACGCCAGTGGCATCCTATTGATAAGCCACATAATATCCCATCTCAGCTTGCTATGACCCTTTCGGTGCCACTAAGGTTGTGGGCTGGGTTAATACTAAGCTGAGAATTCTATAATCAACAATTTTGATGCCTTTTCAGTGGCTCGGATGTCACCACGCTGTTCTTTTGCGCTGATTTCAGCTCGAAAAGTTAAGGCCGCTAGTATCTTAGATACATGCTTTTGAAATGACGGTCTGATGATTGGGTAGGAAAAATGCCTCCCTCTTATTGTGGGTAGCCCTGACCCTTGAGAGTCGGGTCCACCGAGACAGAAATTCTGAAGATTACCACCTGCATTGTCCAAGTCCCGGGTTATGGGACGAGGAAGGCAAGCGTGGACAAAAGGAATCAAATCACGCGCGGTTGACATGGCTGGTAGCGAAGTTGCGGCGAACCTGCCAAGAAGTAGAAGAAATCTCCGAAAGCATCCCAGAAAAGCTTGCTCCAGATCTCAAGACTCTGGGCGATATAACTGTAGACCATGACCATGAGTGATCTCCCCAGAATTTTCTACCATTCACAGCTCTCATTCACTCCAACTTTGTCTTCTTCCCTCCATTTTTCAGAAGGTTCTCAAGATGAAGTACAGTTTTGCAATAACAGGCCTCGCCCTCTGCTTCACCAAGACCCTCGCCTTCCCTTCCCGTATGTTTGATAATGCTCACTCCATGAGCGCAGAAGAGAGGCGTTCCCTTGAAAAAATTACTGCCCAGATCGAAGCTGGAATTGAAAAGCGTGTATCAAGTCCTCGCTCTGTTGGATTCTCTGCATCCGACCAGTATGTATCCAACACAGGCAATCATGCATTTGTTGCTCCAGGTCCCAATGATTTACGTGGTCCCTGTCCTGGTAAGGAACCCCTCGAATCGATCGCTTCGTCTGAAATGAATGATTCGAAAAATGACTTCATAGGCCAATGCTAATGCTCGTCTATATAGGGTTAAATGCCATGGCCAATCACAACTACATTCCTCGCAATGGAGTAGCGACAATTTCACAATTCGTTCAAGGAACCTATGACGGTGAGTCATATATCGTCGTGATTCTGAATGTCTCGTACTGACGTAAGAAACAGTTTTTGGCATGGGTGCTGATCTTGGAGCATTCCTCTCTATATATGGTGCTATCTTCGACGGGGATTTGACAAGTTGGTCTATCGGGGGACCTCCATCTTCAGGCCTGCTGAGCTCAATTGGGCTTCTCGGTAAACCTCAAGGATTAATTGGATCACATAATAAATATGAGTCTGATGTATCACCTGCACGTCCGGATCTTTATGAATAGTAAGTTATACCATCCATATCTTAGGGTCGGAGGGATAAAGATATTAACAGTGACTAGTGGCAATAATTACAAAGTGATCTTGCCTCAATTTGAAGAGATGTACGCTTTGCCGCTGGGTCCGAATGGGTACGATTTATCAGTTCTGACTCCCTTCCGAGCAACTCGTTTCCAACAATCCATTGACAATAATCCATATTTCTTTAACGGACCCTTTTCAGGAATCGCTGTCCAGCCTGCAGCATACACTTTCATTTATCGATACATGGCCAACAAATCCTCTGAATATCCCGAGGGCTACTTGAATGGTGATGTCTTGAAGTCATTTTATTCTGTTACTGGAGAACCAGGTAGCTTTGTATGGACAGAAGGACATGAGAAAATCCCTGACAATTGGTATAAACGTGCTCTTGGTGACGAATACGGTCTTGTACCTTTCGCACTAGATCTCAACATCGCAGCTCTTGAACACCCCGAGTTCCTTTCCGTTGGAGGAAACACCGGCACGGTTAACTCATTCACAGGCGTCGACCTTAAGAATTTGACCGGTGGCGTATTTGATGTTACCACGTTGGCCGAAGGAAATAACGCCATTTGCTTTGCATTCCAAGTTGCTCAGCAGGCTGCTCCTGATATCCTTAAGGGTCTATTGTCTAATACTGCCTCTGCTCTGAGTCAGCTGAATGCGGCGGTTTCTGCAGCATTGAGTGGGCTCAGTTGTCCTCAGTTGAAGAGTATTGATACTTCGCAATTTGCCCAGTTCCCTGGTGCGAAGGGGGCTTATTAACTATGATGGATGATTAATAATGTCATGTGACGATGGATTTATGTGGATTGATATTTGAGTAGGAATAGTTCAGCCGTGGGCCTTCTTTGTAAATAGTTTTTATATCTTGTATAAGCAAATCAAGAATTATCTTCGACGTTATGATAAATGTCTGATTTGCAGTTGATGTGTAAATCTGACCAATCATTGGTCTGAGATGGGCATCAATGTGGATAAGCATGCTGACAGTGCATGGCAGCTTGACGACACCCTTCTTTAAAAACTCGTCCAGAGTCTCTGTAATTTTTCTCCTCGGCCACTATTTTTCGTCGAAATGCCATATTACTCTCTAGCGAAAAATCCCGTAGGCGAAACTTTGAAGTTTCCAATATGTGCAGATTGCGAGGATATCATCGATGTCGCAGTACCAAAGCCAAAGGATTTTCCCAGTTTTCGACGGTTTGCTTCTTCCGGATCGTATAGCGCTATCGAGTACTCTGCTAGGCGAGGTTAAGCATTATGCAAGGCAAGCTCGTACTTGCAATATTCCAAAGTCCCAGCTATTCGGCAATGAATAATAACAGCTCAGGAGGCGGCGCGGTATCAAATGTACAGAGATTCCCGTGGTCAGAGAATCAATATGCGGATATTACCATTCTTCGGCCCGAACTAGGTAGGTTCAAAACAATTTTTTGTTATTTTTGGGCGAGCTGCTGCATATGAGGGAAGTGCAAATGATATTGAGAGAAGCAGAATGCAAGAAGAACCAGTGCAAATTTTGTTGTTCGGAAAGAAGTTTAGGTTATCAATGTCTTGAAATTGACTAATATTCAGGAAGCTGGTATTCGTGGTTCAAATGTACCCATTCAAACTCATCAGATTGCTCAGTGGTCTGGTTCTACCGCAACTATCACGCTGGCAAACAAATGGGTTCAAAATTGCATCAACAGCCATGAAAGATGTAAGCCTTCAACAGAATTAGCTTCAAGCTTGCCATCACGATTGCTTGAAATTAAAATTTCGAAAACGAGACATCGTTACTGCGTTTGACTTTGCATTGCAAATATACCACCAAATTCCAAATATGCAACACTAAGTCATGTATGGGGGAATGTAGATTTCGTTAAACTGCTCAAAGCAACTTCGCGTCTTTTCAGAAAGACATACCAATATCCAGCCTGACTAGAACCTTTCAGGATGCATTTAAGCTGGCTCTGAGATTTGGATTCCACTACCTGTGGATAGATTCCCTATATATTATTCAAGATGATGGTGATGATTGGTTGAAAGAGTCTGCTCTTATGGGCAATGTCTATGGCGGCTTTAGTCTTAACATAGCTGCCACTGGAGCACGAAATGGTAACGATGGGTTATTCTTCAAGAGGGATCTGAATTTGGTACGGACTGTGGATTTGATGACGCAAGTGGAAGACCAGAAGAACTGCTTTGGGGCCAATGACTCTAAGAGAGACAACTTAAGGCTTGCATGGGTCTGTGTGGATGGATCGATGTATAGGCGAGCATGTCGCGAGTCACCATTATATCAACGAGCGTGAATCTTTCAAGAACGTTTTTTAAGCCCTCGCACTCTACATTTTGGAAAACCTCAGATGATACTTAGATGCCATACACGCATAAACTATGAAACGTTTCCAGAGACTAGGCCAACTAATTTCGAAGAGGGAGATACTGTGGAATCTCAATATTGCACTTTTCGCCGTGCTTGGTCAATCATAGTTGAAAACTCTTCCAAAAGCCAGCTGACAATAAGCAGTGACAAGCTTGTGGCATTGTCAGGTGTTGCTAAACATTTCGCTAACAAATATAAGGTTGAATATCTTGCAGGAATATGGAAGGAGCATTTGCCTCACGCTCTAGTATGGTCAGTAGATGACAAAGATGGAACAGGGCCACTTCCACTTCGGGGACCAAGTTGGTCTTGGGCGAGTAGAAATGGACCTATAAAACATGATAGGATATACTCTTTTGTCACAACACCTTATGATGACCGCCCGAGCCCTTGGGAGGCGGATGGCTTTAAAGTTCTGGATGTTCAGGTTCGGACAACTACACCTGATTTAGACGGTCATTGCCTTGGTAGAACAATGCGTATCGAGTGTGTCAATCTACTGAATGGAACCGAAACTTCTGGCGGAGTATATCCACGCAGATCCAGCAAAACCGTGCATATTGGGCAGGATCGTTCAGCATCAATTATTATTTTGATGACTGGAGAGATCATCATACAATATATTTGCAGAAGATATTCTCGAGGAATAAGCTGGGAAATCCGAAACCTTTTCACGAAGGCAGCTCAAACATTCAATGTAGACCTCCACCTTTTTCCCCTCCAATTCCTGGAGCTCACGACTGTGAAGAGGGGCTTATAATAGCTCCTGTCGCTAGCAAGAAGGGAGTCTTCACACGCGTGGGGATTTATCAAGTTCCAGCGTATGGTGGAACTTTGCAAGGCTTCGAGAACTTGAGAAATAAGGGCGAGCTTTCATTTGAGAACAAGCTATCGTTATATAAAGGAGTATCAGGGGTTAATAAAGCAGGACATCAAACGTATATTATCACTCTTGTCTAACAAGAGCGAAATGACTTCGCCACATATCACAGGTTCCTTTTGCCAGATCTGTCTTAAAGTTCCTGAATCTATGATAAGAAGGTTGCCATCTCTATCTTCAGATAGAAAGATGATAGTCTATGAGCCAAGAGCCAATGCCCTGTAATCTATGTAGATGAGGTGAGAAATTCCTCTCAGTTCTAGATCGCATAGTACTAGAAACATCGGCGCCAAGTTCCGGGCGCAGCTTCAAAACTTCAAGATCAGATAGAGTATTCCACTCCGAAACTATAATTCTCGAGATCATTGATGTTATTCCAATCCAAGTTCGAAATTCCAGGAGGAGATACACAAATACAATAAGGAACGTCATATTTTAACCTCACCACGAATGCTGACATCAAGCACCCTTCCCTCCTCACCCACGACGCGAGAAAAAGACATAAGCGCCAAGTTCCAAGAACTCACTCGAAACACCACGACCAGACGATTTTTCAAAGCAAAAAAGTAAAAGATGTATCTTCGGTCACAATTCATCTCATCAACGCAATACCATCTTGGCAACCCCTAACACCAAACATCCGTGCATACCCCTTCATTTCCCATCTCAACCGAATTTGGAAATTTTGTTCTTTGTGATCCACTTGTGTACTCTTTATGCTTAAACAATTTGAAGAACCGATTTTTCTGGGGCCTTTTGATTGGATCAACAGGAGATATGTTTTTATTATGGAAATAGGTAACAGAAAGGGAGAGGGAAACAGTTGGGTTTGGCGATTTGCCATGCTTTTGTGGGGCGGACGTTTGCTGGGTTTGGGAGATTGTTTTTCTTGGTGGTGATTTTTTTGGGTTCAGGTTAATAATGGAATGGAGTATGTAGAGTCGATGATGAGATATATATCTTACGATCCCGCCCGCTACCAATCTTTGGACTGCCGGCGCTATTTGATTCCTGATACCCTGACTTCATTGCTCATTATCAGACGTTCTCCTAGATATTTATCTCCATCTACACGATATCAATAGTCACTGAATCGTCTTCACCAAAACAAAACAAAAAAAAGCAACACCATTACTCAAAATGCAACTCACAACCCCTCTCACATTCCTATCTCTCCTCAGCCCAATCCTCGCCCTCGACTACATATCAACATATAATCTCGGCGCTGCCCGTTGGGACGCAACTCTGACCGACACGCCCAATAACATTACTTGCACCATCACTTACGACGATACTTCTTCCCTCCTCATCGCAGATTCAGATGGATATCTCAGTAGTGCGGTTGCGATTGTGATGCCATGCAGTGATTTGAATGCCGTTGCCACGACTGTTGTTGGGAAAGAGAGCTCGAGTGTTAGCTATACGGTACCCGGAGGAGAGAAGAAAGATTTTGTGGTAGCAAGTAGGACTGTGTTGGAAGACGGAGAGGTGATTATGATGTCTTATGGAGCATGAAGAGGGTGTGATGGAAATCTGGTGGATGTGAGAAGGAGATAACGAAGGAGGAGGTAGAAGGGAGAAAGGGAATAATGGAGTTGCGAAAAGAAGAAACGAAGGATACAATAGGGTCAGATCGGGAAACTATACAGGAAGTGGTAATGGCAGGCGTAGAATGAAGGATATGTACGAAATCACGATCGAGAAGTACTTAATATGGCTCTATAAAACAACAGCTGCGAGCGAGAGTAGACGGCGAATGAGCAGACAGTCAGATTACCAAATTTGATAAGCTATAGATATTCGACTTTTATACGAATAACCTCACACACATCTTGCATTTTTGTGCATTTCCGTGTAGTTGGTGCTCAGAGCTCATTTTTTGCATGCACATTATTCATCTCAATATATCTAATACCCCTGTTCCGTTCAACAACCACATGATAATCACAAGGATATCTCGTCCATTCCTTCTCTGCCTCTTTTTCAATATTTTCCAATATGATTTTCGCCGAAAACATCTTTTGCCCAATAATGAATCGTATGCGATATGAAATTGTTTCAAGTTTCGAGGGTCTGGCGCATATGGTGAACTGTGCAATCCTCGCTGTACCATACAGGGGGTTAGCTCATCCAGCGGGATCCACCTCTGTGTGAGTCCTTTTCTGGAAAAGATGTTCATTTCCGCTGGGAAGACTTGGCGTTGTGTAGCTTACGAGTTGAGACATGGCTGTGATTGGTTGTTTTCACAATTGGTAGAATTTTTGAATGTTTGTTGTTTGATCTAAAGTGACGTATAAAATCGTCGCAAGCCATGTGACAGAAATCCAAGTAGAGTATTCTTCAGTATTGTTTTCTTAATTAAGGAATGTGTGTCAAACTCAATACCAGACAGTGATGTCCCCATATAATCTGTTTCCAAACAGACCATGAAAATCTCGAACCAGCCTACATATCCAGTCATAGACATTACCCACACATCCTCAAGATAGACATCTACTTCACTAGCACGCTCTTACATACTTCAGTGCCGGCAACTCTCTACTTTGCCATCCCTCTCCTCTCCTAATCCTTCCATCGCCCCTTCCTGATCCATCACCACAAATCCACACACCACTTATACCACCTTCTTGCCATCCAAAACAACTTAACAGCTGATGTTTGCGCAGACTTCCCTTGTCAGCCGATAATAGTGTGTATCCTGGTACAATATCTCGGCGCCCAGAAGCCTCCTCAAGTTTTTCGCGAGTATATGAAGCTATCAGGTGATGAGGTAGTGAAGGCGGCGCATCTTTGTGACCTGGAGTGAGCCTCATGAGCTCTGCGTACCAACGCGTACTATGTTCTTCTAGTTCCGCATGACTTGGCAACCCTATATACAACGTCTCTAAATTCCCGAAATATCTTAACTCAAAGATTGGACAGCTGAACGAATCACTTGCTCTAAGGGTCAGGTATGTTTGCGTGATCATTATATGCCGTATGAGATGAGTTGGAAGATCTGGGTCCAATGCAGTCTTATCAAGTGCGTCATTTTCATAGTGGTGCTCGCAGTGAGGATGGTAGTGTAGGATGTCAACAGCGTGATGGAAATATATAGCGCCCCGTCTGTTTAGCATGGAGGGGTTGAGGACCGAGTAACTCTTCAGAGCAACTTCACGAGAAGCTTGACATGCCTGGGTAAGTGGCGGTGGCTGAGATTGATATCTGTATGTATGGGATTCTGGAGCGAAGGCAACTTTGATAATCCGAGGTACAATGCTGTCTGGTTGAAGAGAAAAATAAAAGATTTTGAGTTGAAGTTCGACTGGGAGTCTCCTGAATTGTGGGAATGATGACATTTTGGCGTGTTTCACTTGAGTCAGAACAAGAGTGTGGTACAAAATTGGGGGCTTTGCTGTTCGTCCGAAAGGGCCGAAGTTGGCTGTCTACTGTGATTATCTTCGAATTTGTGAACGTTTGGCAAGTATCACGTTGGATTAACAACAGCTTCACGCCAAAAATATGCAACTCTTGGTTTTGCGAGGATTTTTAGCCACGGGCGAATGTATCGAGCTTCCAAAGGACGAATCTCTTATAGATGGAGCAACGGCGAATTCGAGAAAATGGTCTGGTCTATTGCTAGTTCGCGCGCTGGCAAAAGTGAGACAGAAACTGATTGACAGCACCGTATTCGTGTGAGGTCTAAAATTTTGCAGTTTAGTAAAAGCTTTGTATCGTCAACAAATACGAATAACTGCTTGCGTGCATGAAGCAAGAGAATGGTAAGTCAAGATCGGATTATACGGCCAAAAGCCCGTCCCGAGATTGAACAGAAAATACTTCAATTTGGCACAAATATTTTATTGTCCAACAATTCCTAGATCTTCAGGCTTCGGGATCAGCCGCGAGACATGTTGAATATTGATGATATCGAGAACCGAAGGATCTGAGATTGGGTATCTGAAGGAAAGATGAGATGATATTCATGGTTTATTATCTTCCTCATAGTCACACTCAATGGAATGTGACTGATGTTGAACAAGAAAGACCACACGACAACGCGCTGGCTGATGATCCCTCCCGAAGATCCCTCTAGCTTCACTCGGTCTTTAACAGGCACGTAACTTTACATGGCCGCAATTTTTTCCCTTGATGGTGTACGGCCTCATATACGGGCTCAGGCTGCGTATATCACCTGAAGCTTCAGCCGCAGGTAGTGTAGCACAGAGGCTACGTGTATGTACCCAAAACCAAAGAGCGGGGCAAGATAGGATTTTGACCTCAAGCATGCATTCAGAGGCTCTCAGCAAGATAATTTTGTTGTAGAGAAAGAAATGGCAACTCACCATAAAGCTGATATTGTCGTGAGAATTGATAGATATTGTTATTATTGTTGTTGTTCTTGTTGGAAACAAAGAAGATGGAAAAGCAAGAAGAATTGAAGTATCAAATAGCTAAAACCTAAAAGGAGACCAACTAAAACCCTCCTACGGTACAGCATAGACCAACAATAATGGCTTAAGACACACATTAGTGGAATAACAGTGGGGAATCACTAGAATATCAACCATTGGCGCCAGTAACCAGAGATAGAATAGCGATGGCAATGTTATAGAATAGCTCCTGCCACGGCTGTGCAGTACAAAAGTAAGGTTCGATGGCCATGGCTGGCGCGAATGGCCACAACATATCATCTGATTGTTGTTATCGAATCCTAACCATCCGTAGTCCTTTACGTGAAGAACACATGGTGTAAATGCAAATGACATTGTGTGTCCGATAGTGTTTGACTGCAGCAGTAACACCGGTACGCAGACTCGATTGGTTTTCGCCAAAAAGCTAAATCGACGGTTGAAGGGGCGTAATGATGAAGAGACGGAGTTTGATCTGGTATACCGATACAGCAGTCTTTACTCACAACCTTTTCTCGAGGAACTTCATGATGAAGATAGGTACCGCGACAACTTCTCGATGGGCGCTTAAAGATGGGCTACATCGACCTTTATACCTATTGTTGTGCTTGGCCCTAACTGCTGATTGCGGATCGCAGAGCTTGGCTATCCACCTTTGAAATAAACGACAAGCGCTTTTTACAGGCCGC